GGCTGCCATTTTCAACCTATTTCTCTGTTTCTTTTGCTATGTATTTCCACATTTATGAACAGCATACTTCTGTTACTTTTTTTTTTTTTTTTTTTAGCCAGTCTTGCTGTGTTGCCCAGGAACTCCTGGACTTAAGCAATCCTCCCACCTCAGCCTCTTGAGTAGCTGGGACTAGACAACCATAGTCATGTCTGGCTAGTTGTTTTGTTTTTTGTTGTTGTTGTTTATTGTAGTGACAAGGTCTGGCTGTGTTGCCCAGGCTAATCTTGAACTCCTGACCTTAAGCAGTCCTTTTGCCTCAAAGTACTGGGATTAGAGGTGTGAGTCACCGCTCTTGGCCTTTGTTAGTTTTTGTTATCCATTGATTGATTCCCTGCTATATTCTTCACCCACGACACTCTCACTTTGTCTATACCTTATTTTCCAATATGTGTCCATTGTTGTTTAAATCAGTACTGGCTGTTACCATCACTATGGCCATGTAAATGTTATTTACAGCTGTAGTGTAATATGATTACATTTCCTTTTCATACAGCTTGTTTTTCTTGGGGACAGTAATTGCCTCAAGTTGGCACATGTGTGTATGTGTGTGCATGCTTAGTTTTCTTAGTATCTATCACTAAAGTATCTGCAAATGCTTTGACAGAATTATAAAATCATAAAACTTCTCTCATTGTAGTAAAAAGTATCAGATCATTTCTCAGTTTTTCTTTTCTTAGGAGATATCACTCCTGCTTCACTTTATACTTATTGTTTCTAGAACATTTTTAGATAGACTCCTGGGACTTTCCTCACTGTCTTCCTGAGATTTCCTTCGTCTCTTACCTATATGGATCCCTTGTTTTTAGGATCTCATATAGTTTCCTGAAAAAAGGGGTACTTCAGAGGTGAAGTTTCCGCGACCTTGTGCATCTAAAAATATGTTTATTTTATACTTGGTTTGTTAGTGTAGCTGGGTTTATAATTCTAGGATGGAAACAATTCCTCAGCATTTCAAAGGCATTGCTGCATGATCTTTCAGTTTTTGTGTTCTCATTTAGAAGTCTGATGCCATTTGATTCCTCATTCTTTAGATAAGACCTATTGCTTTTTCCACTCTGGAATTTTCCGGGTCCTCTTTTCTGATATTCTGAAACTTCATGATGAAATTCCTCAGAGTGGGCCTATTTTCCTTCATTCTGCTCATTATTTTATGGGTCCTTTTAAGTGGGAAACTTAAGTTCTGGAGAATTGAAAAATTATTATTTATTTAGCAATTTCCTTTCTATAGATTTATTTTTTCTCTTACATTTTAATTTTCTTAGAGGCCTTTCTCTAATTTTTCTTCTTTTTAAAAAATAGATCTTGCTTTTGTTTCTTGTTAACTGTTTCCTCTTATATCTCTAAGGATTTTAATTACATTTCTGTAGCTTTTGTTCCCTAAATTGCTTCTCTTCTTCCAGTTTCCTTTTTCTGTTTGTTTTAGTCTCTGACTTTTATCTAGGAGGCTTTTTTCCAGTATCTAGAAATCTTTGGCTGTCTGTAAAGAGTGAGACATTTTATTTAAAAAAAAACAACAAAAAAAAACAAGCTGATTGGAAGGAAAGGCATATGTGGGTAGATCTGTGTATCTGTTGGCCTGGGAAAAAAATGATTAAATGGAAACATTGTTTATTAAGGGACCCTCCACTGCCAGTTTCTGTTAGTTTTTTCTCTTGGGCCAGATAATTTTCCTAAAGAGCAGTCTCCAGGCTCTTTCCTGGGGTAGGGTTTAGGCAAACGGGGTTCTGGAACTAAACAGGGGAAGGGTACTTGACACCTCACTATAAAATGTGTGCATTCTGACTTAATCTTCTTTCCGGAGTGGCTTCTCTCCCCCTTCTTATGACTACCCTTGGTTTCACTGAATTCAGAGTCCCTTAGAAAACTTTGATTGCAGTTGGTGAGGATCACTTGCTAAATAGAAAAATTAGTGATTGAAAGAATAAATTAATTTAGTTTCTGTTTGTTTTTCAGAGTAAACTTTACTTTAATTTCTACTTCTACAGCTCGTCAGAACATTCGGTCATTAAACCACCTCTTGGAGATTCTTCGGGGAATCTATCAAGGTCAAGAGGGGAAGAGGTAATACTTTGGGGAAGGAGGGTTCATTGTTTTTATATATACTCGCACAATTTGCTAAGAAAATCTCATTTCAAAGAAAGAACCATTGTAGTCAGGTGTGGTGGAGCATGCTACCTGGGAGACTGAGGCAGAAGGATGGCTTGAGTCCAGGAGTTCAAGGCTGTAGAGTACATTGATAGCACCTCTGAATAGCCACTATACCACTCCAGACTGGGCAACATAGTGAGACATTATCTTTTAAAGAAGAAAGAAAGGAAGGAAAGAGAAGGAAGGAACCCTTTTTAGTAGTAGTCATTACCCTTAATGCTGATATTTTTTCCAAGATAGTTGAACTCTCAGTAGGCTAAGTTAAAAGATTGTCTTAGAAAGTACATCTGGGGTTGGGCGTGGTGGCTCATGCCTATAATCCCAGTACTTTGGGAGGCAGAGATGAGAGGATTGCCTGAGCCCAGGAGTTTGAGGTCAGCCTGGGGAATATAGCAAGACCTTGTCTCTATAAAAAAAATTTAAAAATCAAACAATTAGCTAGGCATGGTGGTGAGTACTTGTAGTCCCAGCTACTTGGGAGGCTGAGGCAGAAGGATCACCTTAGTCCAGGAGGTCAAGGCTATAGTGGACTATGATCATGTCAGTGCACTTCAGCCTAGGCAACAGAGTAAGATCCCCGGCTCAAAAAAAGTTGAAAGAGAGAAACAGAAAATACATTTGGTCTCTAAAATAAAATAAAAAAGAAATTACTTTTGGGAGTCTTCATATTAATGACCTAGTAGTGGCCTTGGCACGTGAATTGGGGCTCTGCTACCCTCTGAATCCTATGATTAATTTCCTATATTGCCAATCTGTCCTTTGGGCATCTCCTCAATACACCTGTGTTTTTGCCTTGGAACCAGATATCTTTCCCTAACTAGTATAAACAGCTTCATTCCATCTTGTTTTCTGTAGTTCACATTTTAACCCCATAAACAAAGGTGTTACTTCAGATGCTTTTAGTGGTCAAACAGGTAACATATGAATACAGTCAACTGTTTTCATGATAAGCATATAGGAATATTTAACCCTTGCAAAAACAAATATGCAGGCCAAGTGTTGCTAGTTTTCAAGAAAAGCTAGAAATATAGATTTTTATGTGAAATTTCCTATTTTTAAAATGGCAACAAATTTTTAAAGAATTTAAACACACTGGAGGAGAGTAAATAAAATCAATCTGTGTGGCTTTTGCTATATTGTAACCTTAAGTGATTATTAATGTAGCAGGACTGTTTCAAATAACACCTGGAGTAGGGGTTACCAAAGCCATTATGCAGACCTGCTTCTACTCACCTCTTCAGGAGAGAGTTGAGGACAGATAAACCGACAGCTTAAAATACAAATGAAACTCACATATGCCAATTAAACTTATTTTTTACAGCTTTAAAAGAGTACTTTATAATTTCTTTGAAATACTGAAATAGTCACTGCTGTAGATAATGGTAAACTTTCTTTTTTCTTAAGTGGATTAAGTAATAGTCCCTTATACATCTTACTCTTAGAAACACAAATACCCTTTTGTTTTTGTTAGGACTTGTATGTATGTGGGCTGTTTTCCCCTTGATAACTTAATATGGCAATGCATATTTATTCTTATATTTTGTGTTAATAATTGAAGAAAAACTTGAATGTTTAAGAACTATCTGAACTTAGTTTAGCAATGAATAGTGAAAATAGAAACATTAGAGTTAATTTGGATTTGTCACTTAAAAGAATATATGCTAGCCAGGCTCAGTGGCTCAGCCTGTAATCCCGTACCTTTGGGAGGCTGAGGTGAGTGGATTGCCTGAGCCCGCGGGTTCAAGACCTGCCTGGGCAGCGAGACCTCATCTCTACAATAAATCAAAAAATCAGCCGGGCATGGTAGCGCATGCCTGTAATTCCATCTACTTGGAAGGCTGAGGCGGAAGGATCACTGGAGCCCAGCAGGTCAAGGCTGCAGTGGCTAGGAGTGGCCACTGCACTCCAGTCTGGGCAACAGAGTGAGACTCCAACTCAAAAAAAAAAGAATATATGCTTGGAGAGAGTAAACGTAAAATGATCAAGTGGGAATAATGTCATTCAGATGAATTTAAAATAGGATAAAAATGAATTTTTTCATATTTTTTTTTTCATGGAATGACTTTTATATTCTTTCCATAGGATGACAAATCAAAAAAGCAGTTTGTTTGTATTAATACCCTAGAAGACACACAGGCTGTTAGAGCAGTGGCTTTTCATCCAAGTGGTGGTTTGTATGCTGTTGGTTCAAATTCAAAAACCCTGAGAGTCTGCGCCTATCCAGAAGTAATTGATCCAAGGTAAGGACAGACCATTTGTACTGCTATTCTTAGTTTTTAATTTGGCTACATAGGTCCCTTTTTCAGAATTGCCATTCAGTAATGTCTCACCTCTTTCTTCTATTAAACTTTATTTTTATTTTAGTTTCAGTGCTTAAGAAGTGTACTTCAGTTATTAATGAACTTTATACATTTTTTCCATGAAATGTTTCTGCCTAGGCCATTGTTCATTCATTATTCTTCCTTATGTCTATGACTTTTGTATTTTATCTGTAAAGTCCTTATACAGTAGTGTTCTTCCCTGGTTCTTAGGGGATATGGCCCCATGCCCCCAGGGGATGCCTGAAATCTCGGAGGGAACTGAACCCTATTTATATTACAAATGTGAGCCACCACATCCTGCCATGATTTATTTTAATAGTAAAAGTTTTAGCAAATAAATTGACAAAAAGAGTATCTAATTACAGAGTAAAGAGTTCAAATCCAGTTTTCTGTGAAGTTGCATGTAAGTGCTTTGTTTTCTTGGTAACTTTAAATAATTAGTTGTACACCTAATAGATAAAGTCGTATGTCTATTTTTAATGATATGTCTTTAAAGACAAAGGTCTCAGTTTCATATCCCATAATCTGTTAAACAAGAGGGTAAAGTAATTGTTAGGTTGATCAAATGAAATTTAATTTTCATTGGTTTAAAATGGTAAAACAGAGCGTCTGCGCACCATCGGGCCCAAAGTGGCGGCGAGGTCCATCCTCCCCGTGCATGGTTTTCCCCGCCAAGCGGTCTTGCTTGGTGCCATCCATGAGGGCGTGCGCTGGGCCTTTTCCTGCGGCACTTGGCTGCCCGGTCCGGCCAAGTGGCTGCTGGCGGTACGATCAATCCAGCCCGAGGAGAAGGAGCGCATCGGCCAGTTCGTCTTTGCCCATGGCGCGAAGGCAGCCATGGCTGGTCGTCTGATGATAAGGAAATTAGTTGCGGGAAACTGAATATCCCTTGGAATAATATTCATTCACAAAGAACTGCAAAAGGAAAACCAGTTCTTGTGAAGGACTCGTTGAATCCTTACCCCAATTTCAACTTCAACATCTCTCATCAAGGGGACTGTGCGGTGCTTGCTGCCGAACCTGAGCTCCAGGTTGGAATTGATATAATGAAGACTAGTTTTCCAGGTCATGGTTCAATGCCAGAATTCTTTCATATTATGAAAAAAAAAGTTTACCACCAAAGAATGGGAAACAATCAAAAGCTTTAAGGATGAATGGATTCAGCTGGATATGTTTTATAGAAATTGGGCATTCAAAGAAAGCTTCATAAAGGCCATTGGTGTTGGACTGGGATTTGAACTGCAACAACTTGAATTTGATATATCTCTGTTAAACTTGGATATAGACCAAGTTTATAAAGAAACACGTTTGTTCCCAAATGGAGAGGAAGAAAAAGATGTATGGGCATCTGAGGAAAGCAAAATAGATGGGCACCATTTTGTTGCCGTAGCTCTTAGGAAACCCGATGGATCTAAACATCAGGATGTGCCATCTGAAGATGATTCTAAACCAACCCCAAGGCAGTTTACTGTTCTCACCTTTAATGATTTAATAGCATCTGCTGTTCCCATGACACCTGAAGATCCTTTATTTTGGGACTGTTTTTGCTTCACAGAAGAAATTGTAATACGAAATGGTATAAAGTCATGATGACTCCTTGAGTAACAGAGAGCAATGAAAACTGTAATCTTCCATATTCACTGAAAAATAAATATTTGATAGGATCAAATTTTACAAAACAGTTTAAGAAAAAATAAAACTTACTATTAAAAAAGAAGACTTCTAGTTCAGGATAACTCACTAGAATACAAGTTTTCCTCTTCCTCTCCAAAATTGCATTGAATTGATAAAAATAGAAAGGATGGTAGAATCTTAAAGTGATGAATGTTCACTGTAGAAGAAATAAAAAATTCAGATACGCAAAAAGGAAACATTTGAATCCTATCTTTCAGAGATAACTACTCTTAAAACCTTGAGTATCCTTCCAGACTTCTTTCTTGGCAAATGAACTCATATTAACATATTTGCTTTTAAAAATGGGAGCATACTGTTTGTGATTTTTTTTTAAACCGCTTATCTACTGTTCATAAATATACCTCTGTGACATAATTTTTAGTGGTTCTAAAGTACTCTGTTGTATATCTAATATCAGTTAGGATGCTTTTGACCAGAGGTACAATGTCCAAATATAATTAGCTTAAGTAACCAAGAACATTTATTATCTAACATAACACGGTTCAGAGATGTCATTAAAGATACTTTTTTTTTGCCTTATCATCAGATTATTGGTTTTGCCTTAGGCGAATCCACCTCTCAATCACAAGAGTTGCTGCTGTAGCTTCCAGTTTTACAACCTTGTAAAATTACACCTAAAGGAAAGGAAAGGCCGTTTCTTCTCTCACATTTATTTTTTCATTAAGAAAGACTTTTCTCAAAAGCCCCCAGTGATTTCTGATAACTCAGATCAGGTCACAAGGAAAGGCAGTGAGTGACATTTTTAGCCTCTCTTAGAAGTAGACTATATTGAAAAGAAAAGAAGGTAAGAGATGGGCTTGGAAGAGTGGAAGGGAGCTAGACTTACTGCCTGTTCTAAGAAAAGTGTGCCACTACATACTCATTTTTACGTTAGATGTTTTGATTGTCTACAGTTTATTACTGTAATCAGTGGCACAGTGAATGTCCTTGTACATTTTGAGGTATTTGCTTAAGAAAGTTTCTAAAAGTGGAATGACTGGTTCAAAGGGCTTAAACATTTTTAGAGCTTTCATAAGTCTTATTATCATACTTGTCTCCAGAAAGTCAGTACAATTTACTTTTCTAGCTAGTACTATATGTGTGACTACCCTCCCACCTAAATAATCCCTGGTCAGTTGTGCATATTACCTTTTTTGGGGGTGATTTAACCTTTGCTAGTATAACTAAAAAATGGTATGTCATTTAAAAAATGTCTATTTTAACTGGGCTTGGTGGCTCAGCCTGTAATCCCGCACCTTTGGGAGGCTGAGGTGAGTGGATTGCCTGAGCCCGCGGGTTCGAGACCTATGTGGGTAGTGAGACCTCATCTCTACAATAAATAAAAAAAAAAAACAGCCGGGCGTGGTAGCACATGCCTGTAATTCCGGCTACTGGGAAGGCTGAGGCAGAAGGATCGCCGGAGCCCAGCAGGCGAGGCTGCGGTGGCCGGGAGCGGCCACTGCACTCCACTCTGGGCAACTAAGTGACACTTCAACTCAAAAAAAAAAAGTCTCTTTCTTTCATTGCAAATGAGATTGGCATATCAGTGTTGTAATTGGTTGTGTGTGTTCCTTTTTTATTTACTGCCTATTCCTTGTCTTTATCTTTTTTTATTTTAGTAAGTAGGACTTAATTTAAAGTGAGTACAATACATAAAATGCCAAGACCATCATATTGATGACGAGATCTATTACATGGTTGTAGTGGATGTCTTGGGGAGTTAAAGTTACGTTAAGTATCAAGAAGTAAAATCCGTTGTTTCTGTTACTAACATCAAAAGTTGTGTGTAAATTATATAAAATTAGGTATTAGTAAAAAAAAAATCGGAATGTTTATCATTGTTTTTATTTTATTAAGCATGCCCAGTCAGTCTTCGCATAATAAATAATGTGTTTTTAAAAGGTCAAGTAGCATTTATAATAAATTATTGTTATCCCTAACATGAGTGTAATGGTGATATGAAAAGTCATTTGTCTTGTCATTATAACAATAAAAAAGTTGACATTTATTATGGAAAATAAAATAAAATGGTAAAACAGCAGCAATTTCATAGAGTTCAACCTAACACTTCTCTGAAGCTATTATAAGAAAGTCTCATAGTTTAAAACTAGCATTACTGGCCAGATGCAGTAGCTCACACCTCTAATCCTAGCACTTTGGGAAACTGAGGCAGGAGAATTGCTTGAGCTCAGGTTCAGGACCAGCCTGGGCAACATCATGAGACCACGTCTTTACAAAAAGTACAGAAATTAGCTGGGCATGGTGGTGTGCACCTGTAGTCCTAGCTACTCAAGAGGCTGAGGCAGAAGGATCACCCAAGCCCAGGAATTCGAGACTGCGCTGAGCCCTGATCATGCCACTGCACTCCAGCCTGGGTGACATAATGAGACCCTGACTCAAAAAAATAAAATAGGCTGGGCTCAGTGGCTCAGCCTGTAATCCCAGCACTTTGGGAGGCCGAAGTGAGTGGATTGCCTGAGCCCGCGGGTTCAAGACCCGCCTGGGCAACTTGACGAGACCTCATCTCTACAATAAATCAAAAATTAGCCGGGCATGGTAGTGCGCGCCTGTAGTTCCAGCTACTGGAAGGCTGAGGTGGAAGGGTCGCCGGAGCCCAGCGGGTCGAGGGTGCAGTGGCTGGGAGCGGCCACTGCACTCCAGTCTGAGTGACAGAGTGAGACTCCAACTCAAAAAATAAAAAAATAAAATAAAATAAACAGAAAAACCCGTAGCATTATTTTGCCTTTATCTTATGCAATTTAATTGGCATTCCCCCCTTATCTGCGGCTTCACTCTTCCTCGGTTTGAGTTACCCACTGTCATCAGGGTCCAAAAAGTAGGTGAGTACAGTGCAAGAAAATATTTTGAGATAGACAGAAAATATATACATGTAACTTTTGTTAATCTCTTACTGTACCTAATTTATAAATTAAACTTTGCCATAGGTATCTATGTATAGGAAATAACATGGTATATATATATTTATTTTTTATTTTTTTGAGTCAGAATCTCACTCTGTTACTCAGGCTGGAGGGCAGCCTCGACTCCCTGAACTCAGGCGATCCTTCCACCTCAGCCTTCCAAGTAGCTGGAACCACTGGTGTGCACTACCATGCCTGGCTACTTTTTTGATTTATTGTAGAGACAAGGTCTCACAATGTTCCCCAGGCTGGTCTCAGACTTCTGGGCTCAGGCAGTCCTCTCACTCTGCCTTCCAAAGTGCTGGGATTATAGGCATGAGCCACCATGCCCAGCTGGGAAACTGAATAAGGGGCCCATGTTAGATGACAGTATTAAAATTTTTTGGTGCCATTATATTATTTAAGTAGAAATACATGAGAGACAAAGGCAGAATTCTAGATCAGGGATTGGAAAATAGGAATAATTATGGAGGTGTAGTACTAAAGACTCATATGTTTAGGATTAATCTGATCTTAAGGTAACTGTTTCTCATCTTTTTTTATTTCTTATGCTGGCACAGATGTTTCACAGACTGTGAAGAAACTGAGGTTTATGAAAATAACTACACTTATTTAGCAAATATATTTTGATTTCCTATGTGCTAGGTACTATCCTGGGTTTTGGGGATAGTTGTGTGTAAAACATTTAGTAACTTCATGGAACTTCTGGTTAGTGAGGAAGATAGATATTATACAAATGAACACAAATAAACATACATTGTGGTAGGTATTCTGAAGAACAATTACAAGGTGCCGTAAGAGAATAAAATGAGGGTGCAGCAGGGTGTAGACTGGTGAGTTAGAGAAAGGCCTTTTTGGGGAGAGGCATTAAAGTTGAGATGGAGGATGAGTAGAACCTAGCCGTGAGAAGATAGTAGTACAGAGGGAATGTGAGGTGAGAAGGAGCATGACCTTTTGAGGAGCTGAAATAAATTCCAGTGGTTGGAGTGTTGTAAGCTGGAGTGTGATAAGGCCACAGAGATGGACGTGAAAAATTTTGCAGAGTTTTCTCACCATTTTGGCTTTCATGCTGCGTGCAGTGGGAAGCCACTGAAAGTAGCAGGTCAAGCGTGATCTAAGTATCCTTTGAGATGATCACTGTGGCTGTGATTGGATGGCAAGAAGAGCAGATGCTAGGAGAAAGGCAGGAAGTTGCTTGTAGTCGACGGTTAGTGAGCTGGAGACAGAGCAAAATGGGTGGATGTTGAGGTAAAACCCATTTAAAGAAAGAATCCATAGGACTTGGTGGTGAATTGACTGCAGCAGAAAAGAGAATCTTTTGATCTGGTCTGTTCTCCAGATTGATGTTAAACACTTTCTAGGTATTGGAGATTTGTCAATCTTCTTTTTTATTTTAAAATTTTTTTCTTAATTATAAAAATTCGTAAACACTCAAGAGTACAGAGAGTAGTAGACTGAAATGGAAATGTAGTAGTTGTCAAGATTTTTGTCACATTTGCTTCATGTATCACTTTTGTTTGTTCGCTAAAGAATTTAAAAGTAAATCCTAGATTAGATATCACTTAACCTCTTCAGGATAAGCCTTCAGAAACATGTACATTTTCTTACATAAAGTTGATTTTATCATATACCTGATTTTAAAATCTTCATTTGTCTATGTTTTAAAGTACAGATAAAATCCGGTTACTCCCCTCAACCAGTGTTTGCCTGGCATTAAAGGTTCAGCTCCTGAGCAGTGTGGCACTTAGAGCCACGCTGAGTCCCGGCTCCTCCCCCGCCGTACCCACGCGTTCAATCTGCTGAATCCCTTGTGTTTCCGCCTCTGGTCCCCCAGTCTCTCACCCCAGCTGCATGCTTGGCCAGTGCTTTCCCTACTGTGTTTCGTTTCCACTGAAGCTGCTGGGCCTTCATCTTTCTGCTTAGAGATTCTCCTTACCTTTTAATGCCCAGTGCTTTATACTTGCCTAACTGTCCATGAGTCGTCATGACAATACCTGCCCGTGCCAGGTTTTAAGCTCTGGACAGAGATCTTACCTTCTCTATTCATTCCATACCCCCCCTCAACCCAGGCACA